ATTTTAAATTTGAAAATTGTGTTTGTATTCATCCCCCCCCCTTCTACAACCTGTTTAGTATTCTTGTAGACCCTTTTGGGACCAACAAAACCGTTTCATGTATTTCTCTAAATTAAAATAATGAAGATGATAATATCTATGATTAACACCCTCCACAATAAAAATGGTTAATCAACCTCTCATAAATACAAAAAAATGTACAAAATGAAAAATTATGATTGGTTGAATGAGGTTTTCACGATTTTTACAAATTGAGTGATTTTTATTTGAACCCACCCCTATATATATATATATATATATATATATATATATATATATATATGTTTATAGAGGTAAGATATTTTGTTAACCAATTAAAATGTGTTAACTTTATAAACCTCAATGAATCAATAAGAAACAAAATTCACTTTTGGTTGATACACATGATGAATTTATTTAAAGAGGGTAAACATGTATTTTTTTTATTTGATCTTCTCTAATGCAAATTAATTGTCGGGTTACATTTCTTAATTGTTCAAATTATTATTCTTAATTGTTCAAATTATTGTCGGTTACATTTCTTAATTTATTCAAATTAATTGCCGGTTACATACATGAGTAAACACTTGTTCATAGGGGAACAAACTCGTATCAATTTTAAAAAAAAAATTGGGTTCATATGTGAATCAGATTACCACATACACGTAATGCAAACTAGGTATGTACATGTACCAATTATTTTGAAAAAAATTTAACAATTGTTCAAAAGTAAACACATGAACATTGTTCATAAGCACAACTTGATGTTTGTTCACAAGTGAACCATGTACCATTCCACATTTATATGTGAACTAGACTATTTTTCATTTATACCAAGTATACCTTTGTTCATTTATGTCTATAATGCATCTTATCCTAATTTATTACAAGAACGTCACAATAAATGTAAACAATATATTTTCAAGATAAAGTGTTAAGACTGGTTCACAAAGTTAACATCATTTGTTAGGTTAACAAAAGAACCAACCCACATATATATATATATATATATATATATATATATATGTGTGTGTGTGTGTGTGTGTGTGTGTGTGTGTGCGCGCGCACGCGTGCTCGTGCATGCACGTGCTCGCTTAATCATTTGAGAACTCTAAGATTTGTGAGTTCTATGAGAACTTCTACCTTAATGTTTTGTTTTACATGATTTTTTTTTCCAGTCTAAGTATAGTTTTTAATATCTTGATTAGTATATATTTGTTCCATATGTATTCGGTTTACAGTGTGGAACTTTTTTGCGTGTATTTTTTGTTTCAGAAACATGTCAAAAGCGTAATGTAAAACAAATATATGTTAATCAATATTCTAAATTCTAGGCGTAGATGAACAAAATCATATGAAATAACACATAATTCACAAGTTCTCAAGGTTATCATAATTTCATTTATTCTTCGAAGAAGACCCCCATGTTATATATATATATATATATATATATATATATATATAAAAATCAAATAGAATTTTTATTCACTTTTCATTATTAATTTTAATTTGTAAAATTATACATTTTGTTAACATATTTAAAAAAACAATTAAAACATATAATTTTACACTATAATAAAAACCGTGCAACATTATATAAATATTAATTTTTATAAAAAAAAAATAACATTAAATAACAAATAATTCGTAATCTCGATTCAACTGAACATGTTAAACCAAGTCAGATAAATTTCATTTACGATTTATAAAATAATTTTCGTTGTTACAATTTGAATATACATCGAGGTCAGTTTTACAATTATTTTTGCATATTACTTCAAATTTCATAAGTAAACATTAATATGCTTTTGGTACACAATTTATGACATAATAAAACCACAACCACTTTAAAATCTCTCTATTTATACATATCATAACAGAATATTTCATTATCATCTTCGAATAAAAAACGTTAATAACTAAAACTAAAATAAATAATAATTTTTTAAAATCAAGAATATTTAAATTGTAATAAAATTTTGAATTCTGTTAATCTTCAATTAAACATTAAGGGCCCATTTACTAAACACTTACTTGGTAAGTGTTTACCGGATAAATTTCCTTATCGGATGAACATGAGAAGAGTCAAGAATCTTACCGGGTAAGAGCGATGAGAATGATGGAGAGTCTTACCCGATAAGTAAGGATGACGACTTTTACCCAAGTAAGCATTTACTCAGTAAATTGTTGCATTCGATATGTTTTGATATACTAAAATCTTGCTCATCAAAATAAATTATAGTGTTGACTCATATTGGTAATCTGGATATCCAACCCGCTATGCGAGCCGACTAATCCCATGACAACCACCTGCTTTGCAGATAGCCCGGAGTCACCGCATTTGAAACTCCGTAACCAAAAGGGGATTTTCCGAACAAAAACAATATGAACATACAATTCATTTACTTCCCACAAACATCATTTACCTCTCAACAAAAGAATTATGTTCCAATTCTATTAAGCATTGTATTATTCATTATTGATCTTCAGATGAAATCATCTCCATAATGCCACACATTAAGCTCCACTCCTGAATCTGGTATAACTATTATATAATAAATTAAAAATTAAGGGGTTGTTTGTTTACCTCTTAATAGTTCCATTAAGAGGCAATCATTTGAACCGTTAAGAGGTGAATCTTGTTTGGCAAAAAAAAGTTTGTCTCTTAATGGTTCTAAAGCCCTCTGAATGATTTTGTATCCTGGATCCCCTTTAACCATTAAGAGCCCTAATTTCATTGTACACAATTACCAAACAATTATATTTCATTTTGCACTATATCATGAGAGTCTCTTAATCATTCTAACTACTTAATCATTCAGCAATTGCCAAACAGCCCCTAAGATTTAATCCTTATGTTTTTTTTAAATAAATAAACGGAGATAAAATGAGAATGATATGTTACCTGTAAAGTTGAAATAACTCTGAAATGTTCAATACACTCTTCAAGCAACAATTTCTCCTCGCATGCTACCTTTGCAAGCTCCGAAAAAGTTGAAACGGTCTCCCGAGTCTATTAAAACGTAAATTTTCGTTTTCGATAAGTATGTAATTTGTGCAAGTTTGGTATTTTTTTGTTGATCTTAAAGGTATACGTACGATACCGTGGGCGTTAGAAAAGATATCATAGAGATGACTGAGGTAACGAAATCCGTTGCATGTCTTAGTGCAAACAAAGTTGCAACACGGACTGCTGTAACTTCGTGATGTTCTCCAATACGTGTAATGAATCTTTCTGTGGTCATAAAATCGTAAAATTAATTATACATTACCATTTTTGGTAGAAATGTATCGGTTTGACTTTTGAAGTCAAACTATTTTACTACGAATGCAATTGAAATTACTTAGGGGCCGTCGTTTACTAAACGCTTATCCGGGTAAGCGCTTAACAAGTCACATTACCTTAGCGGATGAATATATGATAAGGACCAAGAATCTTACGAGGACCAATAGTCTTACCCGGTAAGTGAAAGCGACGACTCTTACCACATTAAACGCTTACTGGGTAAGTTGTTGCATACATTGTCGTTTTGGTGGACTAAAATCTCACCTGGTAAGTAAATGATAGTTTTGAATTTTACTGATAAATGCTTACCGGATAAGTGTTTGGTTAAAGTGTTTTGATATCATTTTGACAAGAACATTAGATTTCCACATTCGAATACAATTGATTGCCCATTGATTAATGATTCAATACTGATTTCAAAAATTAATAAAAATAGCAATCGAGTCTTTGACTCTGAAAAAGTCAAAGTTGATAACATACCTTAGCTTTGTCATCTAGGGTTCCATTAACGACATTAGCTCTAGCATTGATGTATCTCCACTGCATCCAACTTCCATGCATCATTCTTAACTGATGAACACCCTCCGCCATACCCATACCGTCCCCGAGAGGTGAGTTTGTCGGTGTTTGTGGTGATTCAGATCGTTCCCCCGATGAACCCAATTTGGATGGCAGAGCTAATGAGTTTGCCTTTTTCATGGCGTTCTTGATTGTGGATTTGGTATGAGAATTAGGGGTAGATAATGGTGGGTTCATGTACTTCGATGGAACTTCGATTCCAGATTTTCTAGCGCTTAATGTGGGTGTCATGTATGATGCCGGTGAATTTCTTCCTGTCATATCACTAGAGTCGGAGTCGTCGGAGAAAGAATCTGAACTCATCCGGTCGGAGTACGATCTCCGGCGAAGTTCATTTTCATCCAGTGATAATCTCCCGGGAATTACAATTTCACCAGATTCAAGAAACTCTGATGACTTGGAGGAGGATGACGATGAAGAAGTTGATGATCTTCTGATTCTCCTTCAAGTTGCTTTGCTTTTTTGGATCATTCTCGAACCGACTAAACTCCGAACAACTTTTCTGCTTACTAAGATGTGTCGAGCTACCACCGCTGTCCCTTTTCCGATCGTTCCCGAGGCATTCAGCGAGAGTGGTGGTTGGTGAATTGTCATTGGAAGACGATTTGGGTTTCTGTTGGCGATTAGGAGAGAGAGGGTGGTTATGACTCGGAGGCGGCGGTAACGACGGTGTTGATAGGTGTCGATATTTTTCCGGCCGAGGCTTATCGGAGATCATCACGTGGCGAATGAGAAAGAGAGAAGAAAAGGGTGTTTATACCAGAACATCCTTGTTGCCGGAGAGCTGTGGTAGATGTGTTAGGGGTAGTGTTGGGATTTTGTGTACGAAGAGATTGAGTCACGTAGTTTGTTCACTTTGTCGTTCTGCCGAGCCGTTATATTATGGACAATTATGGTGCGTTTGGTACGCTGAACAGGGTGGGACAGGACATAACACATTTGTCCTACCTTTAGTGTGGCTGGATATGGAACTAAGTGGAACTAAATTGGACAAGCATAGGACAAGCGTGTTCCACCCTACCCCCTGGAACTAAGTGGAACTCAACTATTTTTCCCTCTTTACCCTTTTTCCCACCCGGCTATCACATGAAAAATACCTAACCCTTTTCATCGCCTCCATCGCTACCTCCCCATCGACGGCGACATCTCTTCTCGACGGCGACCATCTCCTCTCGACGGCGAGTTCCAATCGACGGCGACCATCTCTTCTCGACGGCGAGTTCCAATCGACAGACGGCGACCATCTCTTCTCGACTGTTCATCGATTGTTGCTTCTCTTCTCTCCATACTCAGGTACGCATTATCGATCTGTGAGTAGTGAACCAAGCTCTGTTTGTGGTAGATTTTCTTGATCCTTTCCTTGATCGAATTTGGGTAACCCTAATTCCTTTCGTTCTTGATTTCATCAACTGCCCAAGATTTTCTTGATTCAATTGTTTCATTGTTTGTGGTAGTAAACCAAGCTCTGTTTGTGGTAGTCAACCAGTTTATAGTATAGTGGTGCTCACTCTGGGGGTAAATTGGTCATTTTAACCAGTTTTGTTCTGTCCTGTCATGTCTTACCAAACGCTGAACAGTTGTCCTGTCCTGTCCTGTCCTGTCCTGTCATGTCATGTCATGTCCTGTCCTGTCCTGTCCTGTCTACGCACCAAACACACCCTTAGGGACGTGCCATGTGTATATTTATTTTTCTTTTACATTTTCTAAATAATATCATCTATAGTGTTGGAAATCATTTAACAAAAAATCTTAAAAAACATTGTTTACTATACATATTATTTAAAATTCAAGATTACAAGTAAATTGTATATTTGTATAACTTATTAAAGTTCTATGTTTAAATTCATGTAATTAACTACATATAAAGATAATCAAATACTGAATAAGTATATCATTTTAAATATAAAAAATCTAAAATATATTTAAGATAATTATTGAATTATAACAAAATGCTAATTATAATCTTATAAAAATTTATATGATTAAACCAAAAATAAATGACTTCATTATTAAATCTAAATTTATATAAACACAAAGTTCGATGAAATTTTAAGTTATTTTGACTAATTGTAATATTAGACTCGTACAACGATAAGAAAAAATGAATTCAAAACGTAATCATTTTATAAAAAATAGTACTTCAAATTTCTAAATGAAGTAATTAAAAAAAAATATGAATAAGACAAAATAAAAGAATTAAAGTAATAATAAATAAATAATGGTTTCGTGAGGTTTTTTTAATTGCAGTTATATTTTTTTAATAGTAATTTATTCACTGGTAAATATAAATAATTATAAAAAATAATACCAAAATAATATCTAAGAAAATATTAAATAAAATAACAATATTTTCAAAATAATATAAAGATAAAAGAAAAGGAAAAAAAACAAATCAAATTATTACATATTACCCACTTTTAAATCCAACGTTACAAAAACCCAAATATGACGACTTTGATTTGCAGAATTGTTTTTTAGGGATTTGAATTTCATAGAAGGATTTGGATTTGGATTGGAATGGATCTGAAATCATTGATTTATTTGGTATGTAGGATTTGGAATGAAATTGGATTTCATTATTTATAAATAATTTTTAGAAAATATAAAAATAATTGAATTATATTTTTATTAACCGATAATTACAAAACAAATGCTTTTAACATTTTATAAACCTTATTGCATACAATCCTACGAAATCCCGTGAAATCCTGAGCATTCCCTACGGATTTCAAAATCCTATGTTTGAAGGATTTCAACTAAATCTTAGGATTTCAAATCCGAAAAATCCAACAAATCAAACATGAGATTGAAATGGATTTGAAATGCAAAATGCTTCAAATCCATTCTATTTCTTCGAACCAAACAGGGACTTATGGATATTCAAATACGATGACTTCAAGTGATTCATGGTTGCTCGGGAATTAGTCAATAAACAGTAACCATTCCAAAAACTCATGGTTAATAAAAAAAAAATCTTTTTTTAAGCTGGATATCCAACCCGCTATGCGAGCCAATTAATTCCATGACGACCACCTGTTTTGCATATAGCCCGGAATCACCGCATTTAAACCTTCGTGATCATAAGAAGATTTTTATTCTCCTTGGATTTGAATTAAAACACAGGTTAGGTTAATAGAGTGAAATTGTATAATAATAATTTTATTATTTTTGATGTTATTTTGTTTACAGGAAAGTTTATTATTTAAAAAATAAAATAAAATAAAAAAAACAGGGACCACAAGAACACTCGAATTTTCCGGCGTCAAATTCTTCAATTTGAGGCCTTAAATTTAAGTGCCCGACAAAAAGCAAAGACGTTCCAAACCCCTCACCAACATTGATTTCTCTGCTCCTCCCCAATTCTTTTGAACACGCTACCGAATTCCAATCCGATCTCTGGGATCGTTGAAGGCGATGCCAGAGATCGACAATGTTGCTCGCGGCATGTCCCCGCCGCCGGTGACCAATTGTTTGTTTGGAAAGTACGAGATCGGAAAACTTCTAGGCTGCGGCGCTTTCGCCAAAGTCTACCATGCCAGAGACATCGCCACCGGCCAGAGCCTCGCCGTCAAGGTGTTCAACAAACAAAAGATCAATCATAACACCAGTCTGATGTCGAACATCGAGCGTGAGATCGGTATCATGCGTCGTCTCCGTCATCCGAATATCGTTAAATTGTACGAGATTTTGGCTACGAAGACGAAGATCTATTTCGTCATGGAGTTGGTTAAAGGCGGTGAGTTGTTCGCTAAGGTTGCGAAGACTCGGCTTAGTGAATCGCAGAGTCGGAAGTATTTTCAGCAATTGATATCCGCCATTGGATATTGTCATTCTCGAGGTGTTTACCATAGAGATTTGAAGCCTGAGAATCTTCTAATCGATGAGAATGGGAATTTGAAGGTTTCGGATTTTGGTTTGAGTGCTGTTACCGGACAGATACGAGATGACGGGATGTTGCACACGTTGTGTGGTACTCCGGCTTATGTTGCGCCGGAGATTCTCACGAGGAAAGGATACAATGGATCGAAGGCGGATCTGTGGTCGTGTGGAGTTATCTTGTTCGTGTTGACGGCCGGATACCTACCGTTCAATGATTCAAATCTCATGATGTTGTATAAGAAGATCTATAGAGGTGATTATCATTGTGCGAAATGGATGTCGGCGGATCTCCGGCGACTGTTGTCTCGTCTCCTGGATACAAATCCGGCGACGAGAATCACCATCGATGAGATCACTCGTAGTCCATGGTTCAGGAAAGGAAGCAAAGGATCAAAAGTTTACGAGTGCGACGACGAAGAAGAATTCCTCGTGAAACCGGAACAGAATGCTAAAACGACGGCGTTAAACGCCTTCGATCTCATCTCGTTTTCTTCCGGTTTAAACCTGTCACCTTTCTTCGATAGCACATATAACTCGCCGGATAAAAGCGAAAAACTGGTGGTCGCCGGACCTCCGGAGGAAGTTATCGACAAGGTTCAGGAGACCGTGAAGGAGGACGGCGTGACGATCAAGAAGCGAAAGGATTGGGGTTTGGAGTTGGTATGGGAAAATGGTAAATTCGTGATCGGATTGGAGGTTTTCCGGTTGACGGAAAGAGTGGTGGTGGTGGAAGTTCGGAGTAGAGGCGGAGGTGCAGAGTTATACGATGAGTTTTGGAAGAACAGAATCAAGCCAGGGCTACTCGACCGACGACGGGAAGCTTAGGTAAGCCGGCAACTAAAGGCTCGACGGCGGGGACACGTGTGGAGCGTCTTTATTTGTCAAAATAATTTTTTTAATTATTTTTCTAAAACGATAAACATTTTTCACCCTAAAATTAAAAAAAAAAAAGTAAATTAAATAGAATGAGCTTTGTGTATATATATATATGAGCAACGAGATGTTTGTGTATATATATGAGCTTTGTATTATATTATTTGATTAATAAAATAACTTTACATTCTCAGATACATTTGTTCAAATGTATATCTAAATCTTATGTTATCATCAGAAAAATAAATAGAAAGACGAGTTTCCCACAAAAAAAACTCTAGAAAGGTTGAATTAACAAATAGCGTTGGACCAAAGATCCTTTAGTTTGGTATCTTTAATGGTTACAAATACCAATCCTCTACTTTGAGGCAAATCGAAGGGTTATGTTACAGATACGAATATTGTGCCCTTCTTCCCCTTCACAGCGTCGCCTCCATCGCTTGCACAGTCTCCTTCATCAATCGGTCTCTCCTCTCCTCCATCGCTTCCACCGTCTCCTTTCTCCATACTCTCAGTAATCGATCTCTCCTCTCCTTCATAGTCCGCTCAACAGTATCGATTGCTGGTTCTGGACAGAATCGATTTAGAAGAACTCGACAATATCGATTGTTGTTTCAATCGATTTTGCATCTGTTTGCTGTTTATACTCGATTTAGGAAAACTCGTAGAAGAACTCGACAGTGTATATGTTTGATGTTTCTACTCGACAGTATCAATTGCTGTTTCTACTCGATTTTGCATTTTGTTTGTTGTTTGTATCGATTGCTGCTTTGTATCGATTTTGCATCTGTTTGCTGTTTCTACTCGATTGCTGTATCGATTGTTGTTTTGTATTTTGCATTTTGTTTGTTGTTTTATATTGATTTTGTATCGATTGCTGTTTGTATCGATTTTGCATCTGTTTACTGTTTCTACTCGATTGTTGTATCGATTGCTGTTTCGATTGTTGTTTTGTATTGATTTTGTATCAATTGTTGTTTGTATCGATTTTGCATCTGTTTTCTATTTTCACTCGATTGCTGTATCGATTGCTGTTTTGTATTGATTTTGTATCGATTGTTGTTTTCAATCGATTTTGCTACTGATTTATATTTGTTGTTTGGATCGATTGCTGTTTTCAATCGATTTGTTTCGATTATTTAGTGAAAAAATACTAAACAGCTCACTGGGGAGTCAATTGGTCATTTTAACCTGTTCTGTCCGGTCCTGTTATGTCTTACCAAACGCTGAACAGCTGTCCTGTCCTGTCTGCGTACCAAACGCACCCTATTTTGAGGCAAATTCAAGGGTTATGTTTTTTTAGCTAAGCAGTTAACGCGGTCGATAATGGTAATAGCGGTCAGGGCCTAGATTTAAATAACGGTTATCGCGGTGATATGGCGGGGAGTTAGCGGTAAAAAATATGCTCATAAAATAAATACGAATATATATATATATATATATATATCATTTAAAATATTATATGCTTAATACATATCAAGTTAAACAATTCAAACTACACAAACAGGAGTACTTGAGTAGGAATCGAGCAGCTGTGGACTTGATTCTTAAATGAGCATGTCAAGAGTCGAGACTGGAGTTGGAATTGATAAGCACTTTGAGCAGAGTCGAGAGTCAAGACTGGAGCTTTGGAACCAATACAAAGTTTGACCTAATTTAATCTGCTTCCTTTTTGTTTGTAGGCTTGACTCTAAAGTCTAAACTAGTTGTGTACCCACGCAATGTGACGGGAGCCATGAATTTTAACGATTTTGAAGTTCTACTGGTTTTATAAGATAAGATTTAACGATGATATAAGTTACACTTGGTCTTTACATATTAATACAATTTGAATAAATAAGAGTTGTGGTTCCAATTACAGACTATCGATGAACAAAATAGTATGACAGTTTAAAATCCAACATATTTAAACGACTCCACAAATGTATTCGATTTACACCAAGAGCAAAGAACCAAGAAACTTGAGTTTTAAGATAAACACTTAAAATCAATAAAGAAAACTACAAATTTGACATATCATAAGCCATGAAAAGACAAAAAAAGATGGATTATAGAATGAAATTTCAACTGCTTACTCTCTTTCTTGTCCAGAAACTCAGATTAAGCAGTTGAAATTTCATTCTATAATCCATCTTTTTTTGTCTTTTCATGGCTTATGATATGTCAAATTTGTAGTTTTTTTGGAAAAGTACAATAAAAACCAATGAACTTTCTTGTTTGGAATGATTAAGTCCTTGAACTTTATTCCAAACAATAAAGTTCATTGGTTTTTATTGTACTTTTCCCTATATATATATATATATATATATATATATATATATATTTCAAAAAAACCCAAGAACATATTTGTTCAAAACATATTATACAGTGCAATTTGGACAGCCTAACCACAAAATATGTAATATACATATATAAATAAATAACTATAAAAGTATAAATCGTAAATATTAAAAATATTTTTTCACATTATATATGATATATAATAATATAATTAAGTAAAAAACTATTCAATATTGGACTCATTTCGAAAGTATTAACGAGACGATTATAATGGTGTAACTTGTTAAAATAAAAATGTATTTTTTTAAACATGTTTTAATTGATATACGATTATGTATGTTAATTTGATAAAGGTTTAAAATAAAACATTTAAAAGTAAAGAACGTAAAGTAAATTAATTAATTAATTAATTATAGGGGTATAAAGTGTAAATATAAAATTATAATTTTAAAAAATCGGTTGTAAGAGGATGAGTGTATGTAAGGAGGTGAGTGTATGTGAGGAGAGAAAATGATGAAAAAGTGAGTATAAAGAGTATTTTAGTCATTTAGTATTTTAAGACTTTAAGACTTTTGTTAAATTTCCTTAATAAGATAGTATAAATAGCCCAAAAAAATCGTTTAAAATTTAGTCCAAAAAAGGAGTTCAAAACAGGCCCAAAAAGAACAATAATAGACAATGATGACCAAATCGGCCCAGCCCGGCTCGGGCCTGCCAGAGGACCAGGATTGGGACCGACAAAAAACTGGCCCGACCCAGAATCGGTTATGGGACCGAAAACCGAGACCGGTTGGGGTTTTTGGTACTTTTGTGGGACCAGGACCGGCTATGGACCGGACTGGCCCGGCCCAAAAATTTAAATAATTTTATAAATAAATGTACTTTTAAATAATTTTATAATGTAATTTTAATTATATTAAAATGCATTTTTAAAGTGTATTTGAGTAACCCAATTGTAAATTTTATAATGTATTAGAAAAATATATATATCATTAAAAAAATTTAAGAAAAATCTTATTTTTTAATGCCGGGACCGGGACTAGCGGCCCATAACCGGTTATGAAGTACCTTGACCGGTTCTACCTTTTTTGACCAGGACCGGTTATGAGAAAGTTTGGGACCGACTAGGCCCGGACCAGGCCGGCCCAAGACTGGTTTTTGGCCATCACAAGTAACAGTGGACCGCTATTTGGTATCAAAATAGTTACCGCTATAATAGACCGCAATTTCTAGATCGCTATTTAGTCGCCGCTATAGCGCACCATTAACTGCATAGGTTTTTTGGGGCTGGTTGGTTGGTTTCCCATTATGTCCTGTATGGAAAGCTGACCGTGTATATTAATCAATATGTATAGATTATAAGGGGTTTTTTTCATAGATGGAAGGAATGTGTTTTTTAATTGGGAGGGACAAATTTGAAAAAAAAATTGTTTTCTGCATAAAACTCCTTCGGAAGCTTACTGAATAAACCACTTTCTATATCATTAAGTCACTACCAAACAGTCATGTATAGCTGACGAGCTAAGCTACAAGTCCCACTAAACTTATTAAGTTGTTAACGAACAGGTCTGAAAGTTGTTTGGTGAATCCATTGCTTTGGGCTTTAAGCTTTTCAGTTGTGACTCGTTTGGGACTTTGGGGTAATCAAGAAGCATCGAATCGAATGTTGGCTTTGCTGACAAATGACCAAGAGCGAATCAATGAACAGAAGATCATCTTTTAATGCTACATACGCATCAACCAAGAGTTGCCAGAACTTCACCACAAGATAATATTCTCATAATACATAGAAACTCATTAAATTACTCTCCAAGAGAACCCTTGAAGAGACAAGGGATATTGCATCATATATCAAGAAGAAATAGTTCCAGGTCTAAACGATGTAGTACTCCAACAGCTAGACGAACACAAATTGTCCTATGGTATTGAGAGAGGGCTATATATGGTACAATTTTCCTTATCGAGTCCTAAAGCATTAGACCTTGACTTTGATACCATGTAAAAATATACGAAACCTCATTAGATTGCTTTCCAAGAAAAATCTTTGAGGAAAAAAGGGAGGTGTCTTCATATATTAATGAGAATTGGTCCAAATCTAGCCGATGTAAAACTCTGACACCATTGTCGTATGGTTGGTCAGCATTCATTTCTAGAACCTACAAAAAAACTTTCCAATCTGGTCAGGACCGAAGCTTCGCTGCAAACAATGAGGTTCTCACTTCTCACTGATTGGTTGGTGTGCCCAAGGAGTAGAGGATTCAGGATAGGAGTAACTGGGTGCTCCCTCAGCATCCCGTAAGGCCTAAAATTCTAGTCCAATTTAATTACCATCTCCTTTAGGGTGTGTTCGGTACGCGAGACAAAATGAGTTTTGACAAAGAAAAAACTTGTTGTCCCAGTTTGATGGGGCATTTAGAAGGGTACAAGACTGAGTGGGACGAAATGCATCTTTTTGTTGCAAAAAAAAAAAAAAAACCCTAAAACCTTGCATAATTCTCCCACCCCACATCAATCTAGCCTAAAACATGGCAGTCCTAATGAGTGAACCATGTCAATATCTATGTGTGTTCTTTTTTTGTTGGTTGTCTAAAACATAAATAACATAAACAAGCCAGATTTTTAACTTTTATCTAGTTGTAAGAAATATTGTGTTTAGCCAAGTAAAGCCATATGACAAAATCACATGCAAATTTCATTGTTCAAAATAGAATCTATAACAACAATCACACAGACTAAGGGGAAAAGCAACATATGAAGATGTATAAATATGAGATACCTGGATAGTTGTGTGTGTATGTCGCTCAGGGCAACTGGTCCTGCTGTGGTGATGGCAGTGGCGGCACTGGTGGCACTGGTTGCTCGGGTTGTTGCTGCGGTGGTGGTTCTTCAGGTTCCCATGTCCAAACTATATCTTGGAGTCCAGGTCTTAAGCCCTCATTCAGTACCTTCAGGTATTCAAGTGTATCTCCATTTGATTTTTTCACTTCAACCATATGGAAGGAGTCGGTGAGCTCAAATATCTCGGCATCAATCGACAATATTCCTTTTTTACCCTCCTTCATCGCCTCCAGTTTCAACAATCCCGCTTCTCTTTTACTGATCTTCATCTTCAGAAGTTTAGCAATTTCTTCCAGCTTAGAGATGATGATGGCGGCAGTTCGCCATGAAGTAAATCTTGCTTCTTTCCTGTGTCGAGGTTCTTCAAACAATGCAGTCAAGTCAAACCCCGGAGAGAGGGCAATAATGTCGAATGCGTTCAAATTTGGAGGCCTCGTCACGTCTTGTTTCTCCTGGGACGAACCTGAAGCTCCATCGGAACTCATAGGAAGAACCAACTCCTTGTTTTCAGCCTCGTTTCTTGGTTTTCTGACGCTTGTTCCCTTTTTAAACCACGGATTTTCCTTAATTTTTGCAATCGTGATTCTATAGGCGGGATTTGGATCCAACATTCTTGACAGTAACCGCCTTACGTCGGGTTGAAACCAATTTGGGCATTTAAAATCTCCCTTGCCTATCTTTCTATACATTTCCATCAAATTTGAATCATGGAATGGAAGATAACCAGTTAGCAGAACATAGAGTATAACCCCACATGACCAGATATCGGCTTTATCTCCATCGTATCCTTTCCTATTAATCACTTCGGGTGCCACATACGCAGGGGTCCCACACGTGGTGTGAAGTAGCCCGTCTTGATGCTTAGATTCAGCAAGAGCACTTAACCCAAAATCAGAAACCTTCAGATTGTCATTTTCATCCAAGAGTAAGTTCTCAGGTTTCAAATCTCGATGATAGACCCCTCTGCTATGGCAAAAATCAACGGCATTGATCAACTGCTGGAAATATTTACGAGCAACGGGTTCCCTTAGTTTTCCTTTGGACACCTTATCAAAAAGCTCGCCCCCCTTGGCATATTCCAACGCGAAATATATCTTGGTTTTGGTAGCCATGACTTCAAAAAGCTGTAAAATATTTGGGTGTTTCACCAGCCTCATAATTGATATCTCTCTCTTGATCTGATTAACGAGCCCGACCCTTAAAACCTTCTCCTTGTCTATTACTTTAATTGCCACACCTTGGCCCGTTCTCAAATTCCTACCATAGTAAACCTTTGCAAATGTCCCTTGGCCGAGTAATCTCCCTAACTCGTATCTTTCCATAAGAACGCTTCCTCTAATATCCATATTCTTTATATATTATACCTTAAAACACAAAACAAAATGAAACTATACCTGATCTTACAGACTTTTCCTACAAAGAAGCTCAACCGTCTTCACACAGATCATGTACCAAAGTAGCAGGTCTTGTGTAATTTTGGGTTGTGGAGCAAGGATGTAATGAGTTGGACGCACTGTAGCCAGTCTCATCAAGAATGAAAATGGTGAGTTGTAGAGATGCAGAATCACCAGGGACCTCAGAAGATGGCTTCTGGACCTTCACGCACATCTTTCAGCATTCCCTGGCCTCCTAAATCAATGAGATAATGCTGATGATATAAACACACTTGCAGATGAAGGAACTCTCAACAAGTTAAGGAACAAGTAAAGGTGAAGGACCCAAGCCTGAAAATTAAAATTAGAATGGAAAAGTTTAGGCTTCTAAAACAAGAAATATTGTATCATAATTGGTTAACAACGACTTCAGAACACCTTCTAATCATAACAGAAATGGGGGTGGCAATTTCTTTGTACCAAACAAAATGAGTCAACATGTGTACCAAGTGTAGAAATTAAATTGGTACCAATTGAAGTCGGTTAGTAGTACCGTACCAAGTAGACAAACTTGGTTGGTACAAGATATTGGAAGTCGCTAACCATAATAGTACCATAGTGCCGACTTATTTATTTATTTATTATTTTTTGTATTTTTGATGTATTCAATGATTTACATTCTAGCTCTTAACTTTTTTGTTTGAGCATTTGAATGTTTGCAAGTTATATTCCTATCAATTAAAAACCCTTAAACATGACATGTTCCTTGCAAACTCAAAATACCACTCAAAATTTGAACAAAATAGCAAATTTTCAAATATACAAGTCAAAATTGGTACAAAACCAATACCATCGCAACCGCAAAAAGTTGGTACCAAGTACAATTGGTTGATACACGGTATAAGAACTTATGCACCAATTATAATGGGTTGGTATAACCGTGCAAGGCATTAGGGGAAAAAACTTAGTACTGGACCAAGTCCACCCTTCTAGAAATGCAAACTAATTATGCAATTCATATATTCCATAGAGGTCAACCATTGTACTTGATCTTTAGTTGCAAACTTATCATTCTTGCAACAATATAAAGGACACACTATGCTCTGCAACTTTCAGCAAATGAATATAAACGAAATAACCAAGGTTATTACAAATATTTCTTCTGAAAACTAAGAATGCATTTAGTGGCAGCATAACCTACACCTAAACAATCTGAACCTAATTCACAACAAAACCAAGTTTATGAGATTACAAAAACGAAATTTCTGATAGACGCTGTTACATGTTGCTCGATTACACAGCCAATTACCGTTTTCCTTCCCTTACCTGTCGTCTCTGCATCTACAATCGAGGGAATGAACGACTTGATACACGTTAAACAACAATTTCACCAAAACAGTACAAAGATGCAGATTCGAGAAGGTAAATCGATAGATTTTGATGATATACAAAACCTTAGATTCGATCGCAAACAATTCGATAACAATAAAACAGAGATATTTAAAGAGATTAACATAATAGAAATCGAATTTACCTGATCTACCTGGAGCTCCAACAGTAGAAGAAGAGAGACAAAAGATCGAGTTATATGAAATCTAAGTTTTGTAATTTGTGAAGACAATCTGAGATTTATGAGAGTCAATACTCGATATCGCAATTCAAATGGATTCCGACCGGTGAATGAAACGTGGAAAGATTGCGAAATGATCACCCACGCGCAAGCGTACGGTAGTTATGGTGAGGGTTTATCATATTTTACTCGTCGAGTCCCGAATATTCTTTTTATTATTATTATTATTATGGATGTCCTCTTTTTTTTAATCAAGATTAATAAATCACTTTTATAGCGTTTGGTAAAACAACTTATGATTATAATTTTTTAATTACGATTTCGATTTTAATTTTAGTTTTATTTTTATGATTAAAGTAATCATATATTTTAATGAGTAGATAAGAATGTATTTAGAGGCAATAATTGGATTAATGATCATTAATAAAATCAAAATAATTTTTTATCATAATAATATTAAAAAAATAAAGATAATATATATAGGGGCCTATTCAAGGGAGAACTGAGTTGTTTGTGGTAACTGTGA